TAATCATGTGCAAATTTCTTGACTTGAGCTTATGCCAGTGCAGAACTCCTTCAGCAGATTTGTTTATTAAATAACTTCAGCACAACTTTACTGTGGAAATCGCTCAAGCTAAGCAACCAGTGAACTTAATGTGAATATATTTGAGAACTACATGAATAATGTCATTTAATATTTGTAGGCCTTTCTCATTGTGGCACACTTAAAATGTTCTCATTACTTTGTATTCTTTCTCTGTTTAATTTCAGTTGTTAATACTGATGATATGTTCGATAGATGTTTTTCGGTCATTTTATGCACACTACATGGAAGAAGAGTTTGATCGATTCTGCTCTGTTGAATTGTTATTGATAATTGATGACTTTCTAATGCATCAAGATGTTGAGAACAACTTGTTTGTACTGGGACTAGAAAGTCAGTTTCCACATTGGCATACTTTTTATATTAAGCTGAACAATCTATTATACCAATAAAGGGATTCACGTAAGAGCCTAATCTTGATAGTTTTACCCTCGCAGGATAACTGAGAATTTGTTTTCATCTGCAGTGCAGGAGGAATGGCATTGTCAAGTTTAGTTCCCAATACAGTAAATATTGTCTCTGCACTTGCTAGGAAATCAATTTCAAGTCTACAGATTTGGTCCTTGCACGGACTTCTTTTGACCATCTTATCACCACTTTTTGTAATTTTTGTGATAATATCTAGATGGGTTCTGATTTAATGGAAAAGACATGACTTACAGAGACTTTGAATTTCCTTGATCCGAATATAAGTTGTTTTACTATCGGTGTAGATGCTCTTTCTTTTTCCATGTTCACAGCAGCAAGTGCTGCTTATAATATGGCTTCCACCGAAGCCAATTTTGTAGTGAGTAAAGTTGAGGTTAATGACGGTACTGCCTAGAAGAAATTCAAATCTCAAGCTAGCGGAATTAGTTATGCTTATAAAAAGAACTACCCGTCATATAAAATTTGCAGTGAAAGATGCATCTTTAGATGAATATGAAGAAAAATGTATCATTAGAAGA